TCGTTTGGTGCAATTCTCCTCAAAGGATGATTTTTCAGGAAAGACACATACAAAAATTAAGATGTGCTATGTACATGTACCAACTTCCCATGATGAACATAATTACTATGTACTGCAAACATGTACTAATAAATTTTTTAAAAAAAATTAATAAAGCGTGAGTTTTCAGAGTGAAGCTCTCAATAGGGGCAAGGAAGCGGAAACATGGACTCCGCTGAATGGAGGCAGGTGGGGATGGCAGGATAGGGAGACAAGGGTGAACGGACTTCAGTGGTTTGGAGTCGAAGGGAAGCAATGAGAACTGAGCCTGGGGAAGCCCCAGGTCTCTGCTGCCTTCCAGGCTAGTAGGAGCAGCCCCGGCCCCAGTATGAGCACATTCATTTGAGCAAAGTAAATAAAAGAGAGGGGGAGAAGAGCGGTAACGATGGAAATGGTGCAGGCATGCTTTGACTCAACGAGCATTACCTTAGAGTGCATCTCTAATGAACACCTGAATCCTCCTTTGAATTTAAGTCAGTTTCCATGGTTTTGTAATCAGGACCATCTTGTTGTGTAGGCAATGCTTTGATGTTGTGAGATATGTATTTGGTTTTACATAGCACAGTCCTAATATGCAAGTCAAGCTCTTCACATGTTGCTGAGTTTATGCTGTGTGCAGTGAGAGCATTTTTTTAAAGAAACTTTTATTTTGGAATAAAGTTGCACAATAGTAAACAGAATTCCTCTATACCTTTGCCCAACTTCCCTTACATAACTGTTGTACAGTTATAAACAGTAAGAAATCAGCACTGATAAAATGTTATATACTAATCTATAGACCTTATTTGGATTTCAACAATTATACCACTGAGAAAGAAAAGCAGTTCCCATGACAGCCGGGAACTGGCTTGGCATTATCAGTTAGGCCTGACCCTTGCTGTTGTTTCCAGCGAGGCTGGCCTTCATGGCTCAGCCTTGGTGTTCTCCTTGAACATAAACATTTTCTCAGAATTCCGACATCAAACAAGGCCACTCTGTGACCAAGATGGATCAAGACAAAACAAGGCCGCTCTGTACTCTGATCTGAACACAAACCATCATCAACGTTATTCAAACAAAATGACCAAAGAACCTGGGTGTGGTGGCGCACACCTGTAATCCCAGCACTCTGGAAGCCTGAAGCAGGAGGATTGTAAATTTGAGCCCAATCTGGGCAACTTAGCAATTTAGTGAGACCCAGTCTCACAGCAAGAAACTAAAAAGCACTGGGGGTGTAGCTCAGTGTGAAGGGCCTGAGCTCAAAGCTCAGTATTAAAAAAAAAAAAAAAAAGACCAAAGACCAGACTGGGTGATAGGAGAACGTGAGTGACTGCTATTGCCTAATTTTAGCTTTAGTCACTCTTCCTCCCTCCTGGGATTTAGTTAAGATTCATTGAAAGAGGAAATTGCAGAATTACCCTGTACTTATTGACAGTGTCCAAGCCAGAGCAACTTCATCCTATAAATAGCCTTTGGTGGTTCGCTTCCTTTTCACTTAGTGAACCCTGTCAGGCACTCCATGCCAGTTCACAGAGCGCTTCTTCAGCCACTTGTCCAGCTGCACGGCCCCCTGCTGTGTGGATGGACTGTAGTTTATCCAGCCTCTCTCATACATACAGACACTTCGATCGTTTCCAATATTTTGAAATTACAGTGAAAACTTTGCTTACCCATTGCAGAGGATCAGCTTAATCAGTACTGCAGTGCAGTGAATACTACTGCTGCAATGAAATGCTCCGAAGCACTGATTGCTGCGAGAGGGGCTGGTGCAGTGCTCAGAAGTAGACATGTGCGCTCCCAGCACTGATGTTCCCTCTGCAGTAATTTCCACACTGCCTCTAGGGTCGTGGTCCAGGCCTCAGGCTATTATCTGGTCACCCAGTGGGACAGAGGTGCTCCTGTCGCTCTCTGCCTCTTCAAAGAACTCTAATGGGTGAGCCACTTGTATAGGTTAACCCAGCCCATTTGTGTTGGTCTGTTCCATTTGCCTCCTTAGTGGGACACTCTGTTTGCAAATGCAAGAGCCCCTGCCTGTGTGTGCTGGCCCTCCCACGTGGCCTGAAACTGTCCTTAATGCCATCAAGAGCTGTGGACAGCCCAGAAAATATCCTTGTGTGCAGGTGAGCTCAGTTCTGCTGATCTATGGGCAACAGATGTGAAGTAAGGCGAAAAGCCACACCATCATAAGCCAGAAGCGAGGCTGGAGCTTGCAATGGACCATGCCGTGTTCCTCATTTTTCTTCACATACTGAGCATGAGCGGACTTCCTAAGGATCCTAACATTAGCTATTTGAGGAGGATTCCCATCCAATCCCAGCAGAGAGTCTGGTTGGGGAAGCATGTATAGTGGCTGCCCAACTGCCATTCATGATCGACTCAGGATCCAGATGGGGGACACAAGAAAAATGACCCGAGCTAGACTGTCCAGCAGCCTGAGGCATCCTGGTGGCTCCTCTGAGCTGGAGAAGTGACGTGGGGCAGGGACCAGGTTCCCTTCCAAGACACTGGTGTGCTCACCCTGGCTGTGCAATGGACCCTTTCTGCTGGGAAACCTGCTTTTCCCCCTATATCACTTTCAAATGTAGAATGCCAGGCTCTCAAGCGACATCATAGTATCTAAACAGGACAACATCTTTTTCTTCCCATTTTGTACACGTAGAAAGCGAGGCTCAGAAAGGTTAGGTAGCTCACCAAAGATCCCACAGTAACCAGCACAGTCATGATTTGAATCAGGTCTGTCTGATTCCAGAGCTCTAGACCTTTCCAAAATGAATGGTATAACCGCTGTGGAAAGTAGTGTGGAGATTTCTCAAAAAATTAAAACTAGAGGCTCCATTTGACCCAGCTATTCCCCTTCTAGGTATCTTCTCAAAAGAGTTAAAGGTGTATTACAGAGACACATGCATACCTATAGCTATAGCTGCACAATTCGTAATGGCTAAATCTTGGAAGCAGTCTGTATGCCCATCAGCAGATGAATGGATAAAGAAAATGTGGTATTTATATACAGTGGAGTACTACTTTGTCATAAAGAAAGACAGACTTGAGACATTTTTAGGTAAATTGATGCACTTTGAGACCATTCTCTTAAGTGAAATAAATCAGATACAGAAGTTTAAATATTGCATTATGTTTCTTGTGTGAGACACTGAAAGTATAAATAGGGAGCAAAATGGAGGATGGATATTAAGAAGTTGGAAGAACTTTTGCAAATGGGATGGGAAACGAGATGGGAGGGAAGGAAGGGAAAAAAGACTTAAAGAAAAAGGAAAGAATTAAAGGAAAAAATGCAAATGTAAATAGAGCTTTTGTAAATGTGAAGGGGAAAAAGTGGTGGAAGGAAAGGGGACAGAAAAAGAATTGAGATGTGTTCTGTACATGTACCCGCTCTCCACGATGAATGTAGTCATTACGCACTGCAAACCTGTACTGATAAAAAGTAAGTTAAAAAAAGAATACAAAGCCAACCAAGTATTTACTTAACTGTTCAGGCTCATGGAATTGCTCATAGGCAGAAGTCAGATGCTAGAGGGGAGGACTGAGAAAGCAGGAAACCTACAAATTGTCACTTTGAGCACATCACCGAACGCCGTTTCCTCCCGTGAAAAGGCACACTTGCCCATGGGGCTGTGGTTTGACCCTCCTAATAGTTGTAGCCGGGAGAGTCTGTTATTACAGGTCTTTGCCACGGTGCTTAGTAAATATTTTATATAACACCCCTGCTCTCACATGTGCTCCCGTTGGGCATGGAGGCCAAATGAGACCTCAGAAATACCAAGACCACTCAGCATCAAGTGCTGGCTGTGTGGGCTGCAACCTATGCAGCTGCAGAGGGGTATTTAGCTTTATGTGAGTCTTAATAATTTTGAGTAGGCGACTTACACTGTCGGTTGCTCTGGGCCCCACAGGTCATCTAGTTAGTCCTTCAGGCTAAAAGGCAGTGGCTGATATAACTCAGAAAAATCGTGTACACTCTGGGAGGCTGAGGCAGGAGGACCACAACTTAGTGACACCCTGTCACAAACTAGTAAATAAAGAGGGCTGGGGGTGCATCTCCGTGCAAGGGCTCTGGATTCAATCCTCAGTGGAGAGAGAGACAGAGACACAGAGAGAGACAGAGAGAGACAGTGACATAGAAAGAAAAGAAAGAGAGAAAGAAAGAAAGAAAAGCCAGGCTTAGTGGCACATGCCTATAGTCTCAGCTATTTGGACGGCTGAGGCAGGATTGCAAGTTTGAGGCCAGGTTGGACAACTTAGCAGGACCATGTTTCAAAATAAAAAAATTTTTTAAAAAGGTTGGGGATATAGCTTAGGGGTAGAGTGCCCATGGGTTCAATCCCCAGTGCTGTACTGGAAAAAAAAAACACAAAAGAAAAATACTTTAATACCTCCAATCAAATTCTAGGGGACTGAGAGCACATGACAATAATTTCATTCTGGCTGAAGTCACTGGAGTGTTGTGTTGACTCACCTGTCTCCTGGCTGGTGCCAGGCAGGCGTTATTTCTGGGGAAGTGGCTCTGTCCTTCCCACACGTGCCCAGTATGGTGTATGAGCAGCGTAAGTGAAAAGGGCTGAAGAACACAGTTATCGTCCTTAGCAAGAACATTTTCCTAGCATCTGCTTTGTGTCCGGCTCTGTGTTGCTATAGGGACACAAAGTGTCACATCTGAGAAGCTTCTAAGTGGATGGGAGGGTAAGACATAACTTTCTGGGTTACCACTGGGATTAGCTTCAAATGGGATACAGACCTGTGGCCCGGGAGTTCAGAGAAAAGATTCAGAAAGTGATCTCTGGGGGCTGGCCTGTTAAGCAGAACAGGATCAGGAGAGGACCCAGCCAGGGTCTTCAATGACACATGGAAACTTGTCAGTGCAGGAGTTGAGAAGTGTTGCAGGTTGGGTTCTCTGGAAGCAGATACTAAGATGGTATTGGGGTGTGTATCAGTTTCTTGTGAGTGCGATAACAAATTACTACAAAGTGTGTGGCTCAGAACAATAGAAGTTTATTTTCCCACAGGTCTTGGGGTCCAGAAATCTGAAGTTAGTTTCACCGGGCTGAAATCAAAGTGTTGTGAAATCCAGCTGGAAGGACAGAGGATGTACTACATTCAGGGCCACACTCTTCTGGGGGCTTTGGAGGAGACTCCGTCCCTTGCCTCTCCCAGCTTCTGGTGGCTGCCTGGGTTCCCTGGCTTGTGGCCAAATCACCCCAACCTTGGCCTCCATTTTTATGTCACTCTTCTTCTGTCTTCAAACTCCCTCTGCTTCTCTCTTGTAAGGACACCTGAGATGGTATTCAAGGTCTACCTGTTCTACCCGAGACAAACTCCTTCTTTTATAATCCTTCAGTTAGTCACATCTTCTCCCTTGTCAGGTAATCATTACAGGTAGGTTCTGGGGACTAGGATCTGGACATATGTCTTTTCTGGTGGGGGGTTCACCATTCAGCTCACTACAGGGTACAGGATGTTTAAGAGGGATCTGTAACCCTTCTCACAACACCTGTAAGAATGCAGAGGAAATAGGACGGGCCGGTGAAAATGAGACTGTGACACAGGCCCGGCAGAGTCCTGATCAGCTCACTGGGAATTTCTGGAAGGAGAACTGCCCGTCAGAGTTGTAGCTTGGTGAGCCAAACAGCCCCTGGCCAAACCCAGTCTCTGGATATAGATATGTGCTAGGAAGGGTGTGACCTTGAGCCAAGCCACAGAATGGCTGAGGCAGAGGCTGAAGGGGCTGAAGCTGCCCTCGGACCACATCCCCATGCTGGGGAGAAAACTGTTACTTAAAGAGGGACCTGGACAGATCTGTTCTGGGTCCACCACACGGAGGGAGTAGCAGAGACGGTCAGCAGATGGCAGGGCTTGGGGAGAATGTCCCCTGAAGACAGTGCCTCAGTGGGGCCTGTGATCTTCAGCCATGTTGACAAGAGCAACACATCTGCTCTGCCGTGAAAGCGTATGGGAAGGACTCTGCGACCTCCAGATCCCATGAAAAGCCACCAGCTGGGAAAGCACTTCTAGGCCATTTCGAAGCCTATCTGGGCCCTGCCTGACATCTGTCTGCCCTTCCTTAATTCTTGGCCTGCACTGCGGATGTGAACACAGCTGCACAAATACAGAGTTTGGTTACAATTTATACTAAAAACAAATCTCCCAGCAGCCCCCCGGGGGTTGCTTGGGTGGTTTTATTCTTCGCTTTCTCCCAGAACTCTCTCAAGCAGGGCATAAGATCTCTTTGTTCCGCTTCAGGAGGGGCCTGGAGCTGTGTTTCCTGTCTAGATTCAGCAGCTCCAGGTTACACGACGATTTTGAAAGAACAAACCTCCGAGTCTCAGGGTCGGGAGGTGCGGGCTGGTGGCCTATGCAGGCGGCAGACATAGGGGAGGCATTACAAGAGGGTTAGCTCAAGCCCCACGAAAGGGCCCCAGGGACCCCATCACTCATCATACGGAAGCACCCTGCAAGGGAAGAACTGGACCTACAGAGATGCACTGGGGCCTGGTTCGCACACTGGGGGATCTCTGTGGGGTCCGCATGGTCTGGAGGCTGTGGCCAGCTGGAAGGATGGAGGCCACACTGCACTGAGGCCAGAGGGAGGAGGGACTGCGACCATGCAGATGAGAAGGACGGTCAGACTTCAACCTCCAGACCAATCCAGGAGGCAGCCATTTCAATGACCGGCAGGGAGCAGAAGCCTGTAGTCCACAAGCTTGGTCTGTCACGGAGCAGTGTCTGGAGCAATCAAAGGGCAAACCCAAAGGCGACCCGGTACGCCACAAAATAGGACCTTGTGGGGGTCCATCTTTAAATGTGAGTGAGAAACCAGAACTGGATAGCAGAGGGTGACAGTCAGAGGCTGATGGAGAAGAAAAGAAGAGCAGGGGGTGGTAGTGGGAGTTCTTGGACTATCCCAGCGAATCGTTCTTTCTCCCTTGGTCTCAGTGTCCCCATCTGCATAGTGAGGCCCACTAAGCCAGGAGTTCTGACCTTAAAGGTGCTGATTCAGAGGTAGAAAAGAGGAGGTGGACTGAAAGGTCCCTGGGGGTAGAGGGTCGGCAGGGAGGCTGGGCAAACACCGAGAAGAGCCCCCCCGCCGCTCACAGAGCTGATAAGAGCGTACGTGGAGGTCTACAGCCCATGTGACCAAATATTTAATTTAAAAGATATAAAGCAAACTAAGTGTTGCGTAGAATATGTTCTGTTAGCTGACTTTGAGAAAACAGGTTTACACTGACCTGTGAGGGCAAATTTGAATGAAAATTCTCAAAGACTCTAAGGAGTTGTGCATCGCAGCACATGGTGTGGACAGAGCTGAGCCCTGGTCCCTGGCCGTGGCTACCGTGAGATGTCCTGCCACTCAGAGAGCAGAACCGCCTGTGTCCCAGGGGCTAGGCTCTGAAATGTGTCTTTGTGAGGCCACGTTTCTCAAGGCCTGTTCCCGCCACCTACTGAGTACAACTGGGACACTAAAAGGACTCCTCTGCTGGCTGGTTTTGCTTTGAAGACACCCTGGCAACCTCTCTTCCCTGGCTTCCTCTCCTTCCATGGGGTCAGACCGCAGCATGACGTGGCAGTCCCTGGGCCTTTGCTGGCCCGCTCTTTGTCTTTCTCACAGGCGTTTCCCCAAGAACATTCGCACCTGTGCACTCCTGGCTTGACACCTACTTAGTCGACGACCCGGACTAATAACCTGGCCTCTGCTGACTCCTCTTCTCTTAGCTCTGGCTCTTTCCTGCACCCGGAGATGTCTCCTACGTCCGCAGGGGGCCACAGCATGTGTCCCAGGCTCCTGACATCTCTCTCTTCTTTCACCAGCATTGAGAGTCTGGTAGCAAACAGGGGAAACTGAGGCTCAAAGACATCAATGAGTGTCCACACAGGATCTTCTGATGGCCACCTTGGGCTCTGCCATGACCTTTCCAGCCAATTGGGGCAATCACGTGATGTCGCACAATTTCCCTCCCTAGTTCAAGCGTTCCTCAGTCCCTGAGAAATGAATATGTGTCTCCTAATGTTTATAACGGAACTGCTGCTTTGAAACTGGCAGCAACCCGGCGGGTGGGGGCGGGGAGGAGAAAGGGTAAAGGGCATTGTCCTCTCGGGTCAGCTAGGGCTCCAGGTCCTCAGAACCTATCATTGTACTTGCAGTCTGGGTAGCGGTAGGCAAACCTCGGGTCACAGGTTCTCAGGGGCCTCAAGATGTCCTTCAGTCGGCTGGCAGCCCGGAGGACCTCTGGATCTGGGCGGGAGCTTGCCCCACAGTCGGCGAGGGCCGAGTCTATCTCCTCTTGCACTGGGGAGGGGAACCTCCCCTGGAGAAGTCGAGGCAGCAACTGCTGACACACCAACACCAGGCTGTGTTTCTCAGGGATGGTGTCACAGGAGGGCAGCTGGGCCTGGCAGCCAGAAGCCAGGCAGCTAAAAATGTCTTGGTTCTCTCTGGTCCTGGTGGCTGTTTGGCTGCCTGGAAAAAGAAAGTGGAAAATATCACATACCCTACACCCTGCTCTCCTTGGGAGAAGGCAGCACTAATTAGACTTGCTGGGGGTAGTAGTTTGGTCTCCTCTCATTTCCCTGTCACCAGGAGATTAAAGGTCCAAGGACACAATGGTCCCTTCTGACAACAACGTGGAAAGAGCTCTCTCTGCTATAATAGCTTGAGCTCTGAACTTGGAAAATCCACTTATTCCTACCAGAAGCCAGGATATAATTACAGGAGTCACATTCATGTTGTTATTCTGCAATCTTTACTAAATTAAGGAACTCAGGAAATTATTAGGACTGGTTTTGTTTGCCCTTTTAAAGTGTAAAATCAGGAAAAATAGCAGATAATCCAGAATATGCATTTAGCAAGTGGGTATGGAAGTGATATTCAGTGATTTATGTAGCCTGAATATTCTGGAATCAGCCTGAGTTTTTTCTTACTTGATTCTTCTTAATAAAGGCAAATCAGGAAATGAGTAAGTGTGGCTTAAGTTCTCTGTCTTTGTGGACTTTCTATATAAACAAAATCAGAAATCAAAACGCAAATCCTTTGTGCTATTATTGAGTTTAGAAAATTTGGTCACCATGAGAAATGGGGACTTTAAAGGGTTCTAAATGCTGGACAAGCTTTTGTGTGTAGTGAGAAACATGATTCACTCATGCATCTCATTCAATTCCATGTTTTTTAATTTGAAAACTTTAGAAAAAGCAAATGTGCCAACATGGATTGTAAAATGTACTGGTGAATCAGCCAGATATTTAAGTTTTAGATCAAGGCTAAAAGCATCTGATGAGAAAGGCTCTGAGCGGGAGATGGACTCAGGAAGTGCGTGTGTGAGCAGGGCCGGGGCAGGTTCCCGGGCCACACAGGCCCAATTACACAAAAGCACTGCCTTGGGAGGGTGCAGTTGGGGATGAGCCACTATGGACAATGCCCCTTGTGGACAAGGACAAATTCGCTTCCATTTTGGAGCTGGAGCTGGAGGAGAAATTCAGAGGGGGAGTGAGGGACATTTCAAAGGACATTAACACTCCCTGAACTTGGATTGCTCTCACTGTGACATCAAGAGACTGAAAAGACCTGAGAGTGTGACCCCAGGTCACCCCTCCTTAGCTGCTGTCACCCTGATATTCCCCGAGACAGCTAAGCCAGGCCCATGCTGAGTACCTTCCTGCTTGTCGATGACACCCAGAGCGCTGGCATCCCGGATGAACAGATGCCCATTGTTAAAGATGCCAAACATGCCTGCATCAACATGGGTGAAGTAGAAGAAATAGTTCAAATCGTTGCTCCTCAGGGACTCCAGGACACCAAGGAGCTGGTAGGCAAGGTCAGCAGCCCGGTCGGGAGGTGCGCCATAGAATTCCTGCAGTGGCCTGGTGCTGGTGGTGATGAGGAGTCTGCCACAGGAGCCCAGGTACTTGGGCAGTGGCCAGCCCTCTGCCCCGGGGAAGATCTGCCAAGCCGGAAGGAGCAGGCATTAACAAATGTGTGAGAAAAATCTCACGGAGACAGCTCTCCCTCTCCTTCTCATGGAAAGCACACAGGAAAATCAGCCTTCACAGATCTCCCTGGCTTAAAAAAACCACTGGGAAAGCGTCTCTTCCTCTTTTTTACACTTCTTGGGACATAGTAATACCACTCCCCAATTTTGTTATTGACGGTGGAAAGATTCAGGAAGGAGGCCGCTCTCATTTTGGTGCAATGGATTGTATTTCAACTTTTTCATGAAGGGTATGAAAATGTTAACGGACCTGCTATGACTTTCAATAATATCCAGGCTTCGTTGTACAGTTCAAAAAAACAGGACTAGTCTTTGAGATTTCACAGCTATCTCTGCTTAGGAAGAAGCTAAGGGAAATAATCACTGATTGAAAGAAAAATACTTTTAAGGAATAATAGCGCAAGCTGGGTGCAGTGGCATGTGCCTGTAGCCCCAGCTGCTGTGGAGGCTGAGACAGCAGGATCCCTCGAACCCAGGAGTTTGAGACCAGTTTTGGTAGTATAGCAAGCTCTTTCCTCCAGTCTCAAAAAATCTGAACTCCAGTCACCTACCAGGAAGGAAAAAAAAAAAAAAAAAAAAAAAAAAAAAAAAATTAAAGTAACAGTGCAGTTTCTTGGTTCTTAGATAGCACAAAAATCATGAAGGTGGCCCTCGGGTAACTTAAGGCTCTAAATGCCTAAATCTTTCTCCTGCCACTCTTGGGCAAATCTGTCTGGCTGGGGCCACTACACATTCACAGAGGCTTCTCAACTGTTTGGAACCTTCCCGAAGGCCTAACACTGCTGGCCTAGGGAAGCACAGCCCGGCCTGACTCCTTGTCAGAGCTCCAAACTTGTGAGTTTGTGACACAGAAAAGAGGGTAGGGAATCCTGCCTGGTCTTTTCTTGACCACTGATTAAAGCAGTTGTATCTAGTATGGTGTTTCTTTCAACTATGGGGAGAATAACACAAACTGTAAATACCCGGCACTCTTTCCCTTGTTCTCCTTCTTAAGTGCTTGCCTAGCATGAAAAAGGCCCTGGGTTCCATCCCCAACACTGCAAAAGCAAAACAAAGCAAAGTCATCTGTCTTTGATAATTTTCTGTGGCCTTCTGTCCATTTTGACCCTTATTATGAATAACCCATGCCCACTTGATCTTTGAGTTTCCCTTGACCAGAGGGGAACCTTTCTTGCTATGTGCCTTGAAGGGAGGTTCCCAGCCTGCTGTCACTGTCTAAATGTGCAGCCTTAGCTAAGCGTGTGGTGCGTGCCTGTGATCCCAGCACTCTTTGAGGCCGAGGCAGGAGGAGTGCAAATTCAAGCACAGCTGGGACAATTTATCAACTTGATAAAACCCTGTCTCAAAATCAATCAATCAATGAAACGTGTTGGGGATGATGCTCAGGAGAAAGGCCCAGGTCCAATCCTCAGTACCACAAAAATAAATAAATGAATAAATAAATAAACAGATGTGCAACAGTTCTAAGCTATGCCCTTTGTAGGTGCAGCCCAGGGTTAAATGCCGAATGTAGTATCCCAGCTCCCTGATCCTAGCCCAGGACTCTCAGGAGCTGTAGCCATGGTCTGCTGCAGTTAACCAAAGTTAGAACAACTAGAAAAAGACTTCTGTGAGTGCAGGACAAAGAGCAATTCCTTCTCTGCTGCTAGTACTGCAAGTGCCAGTGTTACCAGGCAGGACATAGCATGTACAGCACAGCCTCGGACATCAGGCAGTTCTGAGTTTGGGTTCCATCCATGACATTGTCTAAGCAACTTTAGCCAAGTCATTTCATATCTCTGAGCCCCACTTAACCTCTAGAAAAGGAGACAATAATATTCCCAGGGGGCCATTGCGAGTGTTAACTGACATAATGGTATCAGACACTCAACACAATACCGGGCACGCAGCCAGTACTCAATAAAGGAGAGCAGTCACTGGTTATGCATTCAGCTGTCATCCCTTGGGCCAGTATTTATGTTCTGTGGTGGCTCCTTTCTCCTCTACCTGCACCCTTTTCCCTCTCCTTCTGTCTCTTCTCCTTCTCCCTCTCCTTTCTCACCTCCATTTTCTGTTTCCTGTGTATCCGTCCTACTTCATAGTTTCCTTTGTGTCCATTATGTGATCTCTGTGTCCTGAGCCTTGGGGTCAGGGGAATTGGGCTCTCATCTTACACAGATGTTTACATGTTAAACATCTGTCTCTGCCAGTGGAGTGGAAGTTGCATGAAGACAGGATCACCATGCCTGTATCACCAGGCCTTCACAAATACTCATTCATTTGACCATTCCCCTATTGATGGACATTTAGGTTACTTCCATTTTTTTTCTCCTTTCCAAGCATAGCTGCAGGGCTCATCTTTGGGCGTGTCATTCTTCAGCTACTTTCCCATCTCCTGAGCTTGCTAAAATCTGATCTTTGAGGCACTGGTCAAAGTTGCCTTCCTTCACAAAGCCCTTCTACTACCTCGAGGAGTGAAGGTGAACCTTTCTACATTCTTGGTGGGACTGTATACTGGTACAACAACGATAGAAATCAATATGGAGATGCCATAAATTCCATTTGACCCAGCTATTCCCCTTCTAATATCTTCCCAAGAGTGAAAGGCATCATATTACAGTGATACATGCATATCCATGCCAACAGCAGCACAATTCACGAGAGCAAAACCTTGGAAGCAGCCTATATGTTCATCAACAGATGAATGGATAAAGAAAATGTGATATTTATACACAGTGAAGCGCTAGTCAGCCTTAAAGAAGGATAAATTTGAATCATTTGCAGGACGATGGATGCATCTTGAGACCGTGATGCTAAGCAAAATAACTCAGTCATAGAAGGTTAAATTCTGCATGATTTTTCTTATATGAGAAACTCAAAGTATAATTCATAATTTAAGGAACAAAATAAAAGATAGGTGATAGAATACAGGGAGAGAGTCTGGAGATGGGAAGGGAATGGGAAAGATGGGAGGGAATTTGGGGGAGGGGAGGAGAAGTAAAAAGGGTTAAGATGCAAAAGTACCAGTTCCCCAGTATGAATGTATTTATTATGCTCGGCAAACGTATACTAATAAAAATATTTTTTAAAAAGCAGAAAGGGTAGCTACCGTCCCTTCCTAACGGCACTCCCAGCCTTTTGCTCCCACACCTGTTTCCTCTGCAGCAGCCATAGCGCTTTGACATTGCAGACAGCAACAAATACCAAGTGCCATAAGGTCCCAGCACAAGCAGTGGCCCCAAGGTGCGCAGTAAAGAGGGGAACAGAGATGGACCTAGGGCCCGTCCCTGGGAATCCTCGACGAGCCCTCAACCTGAAGGGCTTGCAGGGTCTCCGTACCTGTAGGAGGATGGGGTGCGTGTTGACAGCCAGCGTGTAGAGCAGACGTAACTTGTCGCGGTCGGTGAAGTGGTCCATGAAGATGCTGCCGGCGTCGGCCACCTCAGCGTAGCGCCGGACCACGCGGTCCAGGAGTCGCTGTGAAGGGCAGCGCAGGAGGGGGCTGGGCAGGCCCTGTGAGCACGTGGGAGAGACCCCGGAGAGGGAATCGGTACTGAGCACTAGTAGGCTCTCCTGACGGGGGAGACCTTGGGGCAGAGAGAGCCGCTGGGTGTGCGGAGAGACTCTGGGAGGTGGGGGAGGGCACTGAGCAGGAGGAGGGGGGAGGGAAGGGAGGGAGAGGCGGGGACAGGGGACTGAGCAGTGCGTTTTGGGGGGTGGGGCAGGGAAGGAAGGAGCGGGTTACCGGCAGCTGAGCGTGTGTGGGGGTGAGGGGTGGGGGTGGGCTGAGTGTGGGGTGGAGGGTGAGGTGTTTGGGGAGAGCAGAGGGCAGGAGTAGAAAATGGCGCATTTAAGGGACCAAAGTGTGACGAGAAAGTCTAGGCTTGAGCTGAACACTTGCGATGGGCAGTAGCCCGCTGCCCACGGTCCTAGCGCTGGTACATTCTCGAGGGCGGCAGGGAACTGCACGTGCAGGGCAGATGCAGAAGCCGCTGTACGGATTACTATTTGAAAATGTGCTTGGCATGACACAGTCGGGAGAAGGAGGTAGCTAACACTTTCTAGAAGTTCCCAGCCCCAGGCCCTCTGCTAGGCCTTTGCCAGGCGTTATCTAGATACCACACAGAGATCTGGAGCCTTTATTTCTCGCTTGCCTTGGGGACTGTCCTGGAAATTTAAAGTGGTTGATTGAAAAATGACTTCAAAACATTGTGGACGATATTGTGACAATTAATTTTCAGGCCCCATGCTGCCAAATGCAAATGGTAGACTGTATTATCAAGTGAGCTACTAGTAGAACACTTCAATTTTCTAGATGAGAATAAGGACCCAGAAAGGGAAGTAACTTGACAAACATCATGCTGCTTATTGGAGCCCAAGCTTTGCTATGTACTCAAATCCCCAGGAGGCAGGGAGAGATTTAATACACAGAGAAAGTGTGTGTGTGTGTGTGTGGGGAAATCAGTGATTTTAGAATGGGCAGTGTGGGGCTGGGGATTTAGCTCAGTGGCACAGCGCCTGCCTGGCAAGCGCAAGGTCATGAGTTCGATTCCTGGTACCAGAAAAAAACCAAACAACAAACAAACAAAAAGAATGGGCAGTGTGTCCCAAATAGGAATGGTGATCCAAGTTTTCAGAGTGCTGTAAAAACACAGATCCTTAGGCCCTTGTCTAAAAATTCTGGATGGGCAGTTCTAGTAGGGACCTAGGACTCTGCATTTTTGACAGGTGTCCTGGGTCATTCTTGTTATCAGACAAGTCTGAGGATCACAGGCAGGGAGCAGGGGGTTAAGGAACTGGATGTGATTCAATCTTCGTATCTTAGGAGCAAAGTGCTTCCTTCATTTTGGACACAAACACAAAAGGTTGTACATTTTCAACAGTAGAGTAAGGGCACTTGGTAGAATAAAGACATCATTCTTCAGGCAGCTGTCATCTTCCCCTGGAAGGTTTTGGTTGTTGAGACCCGAAGAATTATCCTTTAGATGGGGGTGTGCAACTCATGATAAGGTTGATCTAGAAACACAGAAACCTAGGAGGAATGGTGTGCACCTTCAGTCTAGCTACTGAGGGGGGCAAGGTGGGAGGACGCTTAAGCTCACAAGTTTGAGACCAGCCTGGACAACATAGTGAGGCACCACCTAAAAATCAATTAGTCAAACAAAAAACAAACAACAAAATAAAAAACAAAGAAGGAATCAGGAGGGAGAGATGCAGTTGCTGACCTCTAAAATCAAGTCAAAAAGCTGGCTCTGCCTTCTCCAAAGGCTTAAACTCTCTTCTGGGCAACAGGAATGGTTTCAGGACCATCCAAAGGTACTGACCATTCAACGGCCATGTACTGAGTCCATTTGGCCATCATCCCCTGCTATACCTCAGGGTGACGAGAACAAAGGAGAGCTGGAGTCCTTGCTGCCTCCCTTTTACACTTCCTATTTTGGGTCAGGGACTGCAGAAGCTGCTAGGATTTACCCTTTTGGTCATTTTAGCCAGGAAAAGATGCAAGAAGTCAGGCTACTGAATAGTCCATTTTAGCATGGTGGAAGGACTGAAGAAGTTGTTGGAATTTTTGCTACCGCTTGTCTTGCTACCTCTTCCAGATTGAACAGACTCGGCTCACAAGTGTTGCAGAGCACACATGCAAAAGGCTTGGTGTGGTGGGAGGCACATGCTCGGCACTTGGTGAATGACATGCATCGTTGTCTCTGTCATGATCATCAGCTTCAGCAGCATCTCTGCCGCTACAGATGAGCCTTCTATAATGAGCACTCTGTACCCTTCTAGCTGACGCTCCCCCACTCCCCATGGCCACCTGCTTAAGGATGGATAGGGGGTGCTGGGTGGGAAAGGCTCTACCCAGTGCGGTGGTAGTGAAGAGTTGAGCCAATTATTCTGACTCCTTTTTGGGATTTAGATTTTGGATCTAGCTGGGAAAGAGGATAAGGAAGAACCATTGAAAAAAGTAGAGATACCCTGAGCCAGGGTGGTTAGGGGCCCATAAAAGAGAGGCAGAAGCAACAGATCCATCTTTGCTGGATGCAAAAGTGCAGGCCCTAGAAGCTTCCATGCCAAGTTCTGGGCCAAGGATGGTGTTATGATTTGAATGTGTCCCTCAAAAGTTCATGGTTGGCACATGCCTGTAATCCCAACTACTTTGGAAGCTGAGACAAGAGGATCACAAGTTTAATGCCAGCCTGGGCAATTTAGCAAGAGCCTGTCTCCAAAAAAAGAGATAAAAATGTAGCTCAGTGATAGAGTGCCCCAGGGATCAGTCCCCAGTATCACCAAAACCAAACAAAGAAAGAAGGAAAGAAAAGAAACAAGTTCATGGTTGAAAGTTTAATACCCACGTTCATGTTAGTGGTATCTGGGGGTGGGACCTTTAGGAAGTAAGTAGGATTAGATGAGATCATGAGGGTGGGGCCCCCATGATGAAGTTAGTGGCTTTACAATTAAGAGGAAGAGAGACCAAAGTCAACAGCTTGCCTGTCTAGTCATATGATGCCTCCCACCATATCATGATACAGCAGAAATGCACTGTCCAGATGCCAGTGCCAGGTGTTTGGACTTTTTAGCCTTTAGAACCGTGAGCTAAATAAACCTCTGTTTTTTATACTTTGGTCTGCGGTATTCAAGGATAACAACAGAACACACACTAAGACAGATGACATGACCACAAGCTCCTCCAGAAAGTGGGCTCATGGAATCTTTGCTCTTTGTCTCCCAGGAGTCAAGCAGCCACCAAACTAGACAAATGTACTTTATTGAGGTATGAGGGAAGGACAGCAGGTTAGGATTAGAAGTCTTGGACCTATAGAAATTCAACTTCTGACTCTGCAATGTGTGTGAAACTCCCGCTTTTTTTGGTAAAGCATTTAACTTTCCAGGGCCCTGTATATACATATTTTATTCAAGCTCATTTCATATTAATCATCCAACTTGGCCATAAATGACTTTTGGCTGTTTCCAAAAGAAAATGTTCCTCAAAACACAAAGATTTATCACTACTGAACATATTTGAATATTCACTCTGATGGACATATAAATGTATGGAAGAAAAGAACATGAACTGCTCTTAGAAAACCCAAGACCAGAAGTTTTGCCTTTTCCTCTTTTATGGCTGGTGTCTAGATGCTCCCCCAAAGCCTCATGCACTCGTAGGTGGACCTTTGCAGGGATGACGGGATCTAGAGTGTGTGATGCTGGGATTAAGGATGTGATGCTGGGATTGATTCATGGCGTGTTGACAGGATTAAGAGTGTCTCACCCTGAATGTGAGTGTTACCTGCCCTAAGGGCAGAGAGCCTGGATAAAATATAAAGGACAGAAAGAGGGCTGCTGTTGTTACTTGATGCTTAGATGGCTGTTTTACTGCCTTCTGCCTGCCCTGCTTTGCCCTGGGCTGTTTCTCCTCTACAATGCTCCTTTGCTATGCCACCCTGCCTTAGAGGCAGCTGCCTATGGATGGAAACCTCTACACACTGTGAGCTGAAATAAACCTTTCCTTCCTTAGCTTTGGGTGTCAGGCATTTTGTCTCAGCAATGTTAAGTTACTTACTTAAAAAGTAACTAAGACACTCCCTAAGATCAGAAGTCAGCTCTTTTTAGTAGGAAGGTCATCCTCACCAGCTAGATTTGGAAAGCTGAGGAAAATTTTGAACAAATGAAGTTTTACTTGGAGTGAACTTGACTCTTCTCAAGCTCTCCTAGTATCCAGGGAAAAGAAGAGAAAGTTCTAATGCTAATAAAATTACTTCCAGATCACACACCCAAACACCTTACATGATTTAGTTGTTAAATATGCTTGTGAAACAGGGCTGAGGTTAACCATGTATCACAATTAATCAGTGTGCCATAATTAAAACAATGACAATTCAATAAAGTCTCAGTTGTTATGGATAATTAAGCCAAAACTTAGTGAACATATTTTCAAGTCTTGTATTCAAAATCACGAAAACTCCCATTCAGTTTGCTATTAAGAGAAACATCTCACAGTTCTTTCCTACTCCAATAGATTTTTTTTTCTTTTTAGTAAAGTTCTTTCTGATTATTATTTCCTCTGAAACTCAGACACAACGCAAGACATTTTGGTATGTTGGATTCCATTCTAGAAGTGCCTGCCATTGCAGTGATTATTTTGGAGGAACCACTTGGATGATTTTAATAGTTTAGCCATCCAAAAATGTGCTCGTAGCTCGCAGTCCTGTTGCTGTATAGGCAGAGCTCCTCTCTTAGCTCACTGCTGCAGGTACTAGAGGAGGCAGGGGAAGCTGTAAAGCAGGGAGTTCCTAAATCATTTCAATTTTGCTTTGCAACCTGTAATTTTGGCAGGTTTAGGATAGATCCCTTCCCCGTTTACGAAGTTTCTCTGCTACCGTTTGCCTGGGCTGATCAACTCAGGTTTCCTGAAACTCAGTCGCTAAGAAAGTCACTGACAGAAAGTCAGGTGCAAAAGGTAGAAGCAGAGAGGGAGGGCATAGCATTTGGAGTCGGCCTTGGATCACATGAATTAG